GACAAAATGTGACTTGTGCAGCCATCTTGTGTGTTTTCATCGGCGTCTGTCACAATTGCACACTTTCTAAAATTCTAATTCTTTCAATTAGAATGTGTTTATTGGCGTTTATACGGACCAGACCACCCTGTAGGGAAGTCTACCCCTGAGTTCTATACCAGTGAAAAGTGCATTTGTGCAATTGTCGAGGCTCAAGTTGGTTCCTACGAAATCGAATGTCTCTCTTGCACATCGCATATACATACACGGTTCCCGTTGATGATGAGTGCACGGCACGGAGTCTCCCCCCTTAAGTAAAAAAATATATACTTTCCCGTTTCATGTTTCATAACTATCATATTTATCCCTTAACCTTAAACTGAAGCATCGAATATTTTTATTCCCGTCAAATCATATAGATACACGCAATATGAATGGAATATATAATACTTCATTTGTGCTAATAATATTCAAAATTCATACTTTATCGGTAACGTCGGGTATTGACACTAAAATGGTAACAGGGCTACGTAGCCCTGCGAACGTGGGACAGAAAAAAGCACTGGATGATAAGTCTATTCTACACCTCGTCGGTGATACGACCGTGGTTCAGCGTAAATCTACTGAAGGCACTCAACGGTTGCGCCCGTTGCGCAACGCAAAATCCACTGAACGCAACCAATGGCATCGCCCCTATGGACATAGGAATAAATATTTCTTTTTTATTCCTATGACCATGAATCTATTTTTTTTTTAGTAGAACATCGTATACAGTAGTATACACTATTCAGAATACATGTTGATAAAATATTTATCATAACCAATATATGTCAAACGCTTCATACTGACGGTATAATAAAAGTTCATTTAATGAAATGGAAGTTTCTTTTAATATTTATAATTTTTCAAGAAGTAGCTAAAAAACAGTGGTTACGAAAATAAAAATGTATTAATTAAGATTCAAAATAAGTTCATAAATACGTTTATAAAATATTTACTCCTACACAATTACAGATTAATAAAAACTACTATACAATAATTATCATCACACTTGTAAAACATATGAACAAGTTAGTACCTATGAACATATGAACAAAGTACCTCAGAAGTAGGTACTTTGTGCATTTTTTGTAAGTCAGGTAAATGTTTAGTGTAGTTTAAAATATATGTAAAACTAAAAATACATAAAATTTGCAGTAGTAAATTCGGTACAATTCACTCTGCTATCAATATGTTCTTTAAAATTCGTTACATATGTATAAGCTTTCGGCAACACAAGATTCCCATAATTTACGTAAGCAATAATAAAATTCTACCAAGCATCTCATGTATTAATAAAATGAATCCGAAATTGGATATATTACATCACCAAACGCAATAAAATCTATCGTCGTGATCAAATAGATTGAAATTTGGTATATCAGAAGTATTAAGGTGTAGGTACTATACAATGATGTACTGTCGAAAACCCTTAATTAGTATACGATTTTATCGCAGACTGTTTCATTAAAACATAGGCCCAAATCCTGTACACAAAAAAAAAAAATAATTAGATATATTATTCGTCATATAATTAGTGCAAAAGTATGTATACTTACTAGGATTAGAGGGTGGACGTAATCTATATACGTCAGAAGAAATAAATCTTGGTGGGAATGGCCGTATTGGTGCCATCATAGAAGGGTGTCTACCACCTCTGAGAGGCATTTGCCCACGAATTGGGATCAAAGGTCCCATCAATATTGGCCTTGGTGGAAAATTCTGAAAAATAATAAATGAGTTTTGTATCTATGTATCACGTTATTAAATTTTTCATTATAAATTAAACACATACTCCGTAATAAATAGGAACAGGAATTTGTTCAATATAATGTGGCGGTGGAACTCTTTGTTCTCTAGATCTATCTCTGTTCCTTCTCTCTTCAGAACGTTCTCTCGATCTCTTTCGATACTCTCGACAAGACCTTTCATCTCTAAATGTTATGATAGTATTTTTAAACTTTGGTTTTCACAAGGTATGATATTAAAAATATAATTGAACAACATACTTATAACGAGAATCTCTGTTCCATTTTCTTTGGTCTCTCTCTCTAGAACGCGAATGATCACGACGACCTTTTCTGTTACGTTCGTCCTCTAGACTATGAGAATGCACATGTCGTCTATCTTCCTCCCTGCAACTGTCTTTATACTCCCTACTTTTATCCCTACTACGATGTCATTCCCTAAATAAGTAATATAAAAATTCCATGAAATAAAGTTATAAAGATTAGATAATATGTAAATAGATGAAACCAAAACAATTATTACTTACCTATCACTTCTGAAACTTTCCCTATCATCACGTCTGGAGTCCTCATGCCTGAAAAAGAATAGTAAATCAACAAAATATTCAATTTCCTAAACAGTATTTAGATAATACATTAATCAACTTGATATGATCGTAAGCTTAATGTCTATGCCAAAATTATATTTATAGTGCAATACTCTGTGAAATCCATATTATTTTATTCATATCCATATTAACTTTGTTGTTTATAGCGAATTATCAGCAAGTATTGATACTTGCCTGTAAACTTATACGTGTTTTTATAGTGTGTAAAAAATCAATTTGTATTAAAAGAAAAAACAAATACATATAAAATTAATTACAATGTAGATTAACGTAAAGTGTAAACAATATAAACTGAAATACATTTCTGTAATAAAGAGTGTAAAAATTATTTGTAATCACTATTTAATTACAGCATTATCATAAACAACTATTTTCATTGTTCGTTTTATTGTATTGTAAAATTTAATTCTCATCTCTGAATAGTTTTAGTTGTTTACATACAGAGATTTAGGATTACAATATGTTACACAATATATCCACAAAATCCTCCTAATGGATCCTCGTTAACTTGTACTTTTTTTGAAAATTATAAACAATTGTGCATCAAAAAATACACATAGAACTTGTAACGAGAAATGTTTAGAAGCAAAAAGAAGCAGTTGCAGTTATGTTCAAAACAGCAAATATTGTAAATGCATTGGAAAAGAATAACAGAAAAATAGCGTGATTTCTGTAGTTTTAATAAAATTATCAACAAGGATTATGCAAAGTATGAAACAAAATTGTAAAATAATTTGGCAATACATGTTATCCCTTGGAGTATATTATATTCGTGTTTAATTTAATTTAACATTTGAAGTTACTTACCTTTTGCTACTGTTATTACTGTTTTTGCTTAAATAATGTGTTACCTGAATGAAATAGCAATTTTAATACCCATGAAAAGCTTGATTAATTAAATAATCTGAAAGTGTAAATTTCTTTTCTGTACAGTTAATGGATATAATATGTTAGAAATCTATCTATTCAAAATTTAAATAGACCAAATACTATTGTATGTATCAGATACTATATTATGTTGCTTTTTTTTTTTAAATCTAAATGTTAAGAGATATCTTATATTTTTGCATCGTCCTTGAAGAAAAACTACTAGTTGATAAACTAAAAATTAAAATGAAAGCTTTGTTATTAGCATAAGCAAGCATATGCATACAATCAGGTACAATGCAAATCGTGTCCTTGCCCCATCTCGTCTTTTCTCCAAATCCTCGCGAAGCACTAATACAGCTAGAACAGAATAGATTGTAATAACATAAAACAAAACATGACTAAAAAGCAAACTAGAAGCACATTACGCGACAAAAACAAATGTGAGACATTTAAAACGTTAGAACATTATAAATCTTTAAAGTCTAAAACGTATGTATTCCATACTAAAGCACATCCATTATACATGTAAAATTTGTCTCAATACTTTGTAAGTATGTATGTCCTTCCTTTTTACTTTGTGTGCTAAAATACTTACAAATTAAATCATACACCAATTATAGGCTGGGTTACGTAACACATTTTGATAACATTGAGTCATTTACAATTAAAAGTGATCAAAACATGCATCATTATTACACACAGTCAATAGCAATACTCGGTCACATATTTATGTATACAATCTAACTTATGAACGAATATCTCTTTTTTACAAATGCTAAACATGCATTAGTATTAACATTTTGTATATGTTCATAAATTAGTTGTATACAAATATACATATCCATATTAAAGTCATAAAACCTTATCTTCTGTTACAGATAAATAGAAATATCAGTAACAGTTTGTTAATCTTAATCATAACAACTCTGCGTCTTCGCAAAGTAATATTACCAATACAGACACAAACCTAGTGTGACGAGAGGATGTACATCGGGGACTGTGATTTTGGGTTCTGACAGGACTCAAGGACGTCAAACGCTTTTTAGATCTTTTTGAGTTGCCTTCTAAAAATAAAAATTTTGCACTTGGAAAACAGAAGTAACCAAGAAGTCTAATGTAAATAAAGTATAAATTACATAATTTATATTATGTGTAACATTACCATGTTTATGTATTAACAAGGTAATTAAAAATAATAACGTTTACCTATCAGTTCTAAATATTAAACGTACCTAAATTTTCATTATCTACAGTCACTACAGTACGATGTTCTTCAATTTCTTCTGTTCTAGTTACTGATCCTTTTATTTCTTCTCTTTCAAATATTGGTTTAGCTCCTTCTCCTATAGTTACACAAATCTATTAGTATAGAGACAGTTGCATTATATATTAAACAAGCAGTTAAGCAATACTAGCAGCTGTGACAGACCTTGAAGATGTTAAAGTTGCTATTCAGACAAACTGGCTATCTTTGAACAATTGTAAGCTATCCAAATACACGTTAGATCATTTTATTACAAACTTCGGAACTGTCGCAATTTTTATTAAAATTCATTTATAGTTTATATCAATTAGTGGTTTATGAAACGAATACTACAGATTGTAATGCGTGATATACTCGATGGAAAGTTTGCGTGATATACTCGATGGAAAGTTTGCGTGGGGTAGCGAATTCCTCTCAAAGTACCGACGCTTTTCGTGTTGAAGAATGAATACTATGGTCTTTCCTACGTTAGGAAGAATTTCTCTAAACTTTGATACCATAGCCGCGAAGGCTCAGAAATCCTCAACTTGAGTCGAAGGATCACTTGTAATGATAGTTGGAGAGATCGTAACTACGCGAACCCGAAGACAACTCTTATACCGCTATTAACACATTCGCAGCCGGCGGTTTTGACGCCAAAGCCTTAGCTGGATGCCGCCTACAATTTCCATAAGTCTACAGCTGAATGCCGCAGAGTTCTGCTACTGAACTGGAGTGAATATTGAAAATATTGCTTTATGATATCATGTTTATAACCACGTATTGTTTAAAATTCGAAACAGTTTATTTAAACATGAATGCACGTCAGGGGCAACAAAAAATAGAATTTAAAATGACATGAATTTACGTCAGCAGTTGCGATTGTGTTAAGTTGAACTGACTTCGACTGCGTGATAGTGCATTATCGCAGTCCATTTTGTAGGTTTTTCGAAATCGCGTAACGTAAACAAATGTGTAAACACGGGATCTGCGATGAGGCTGCGGCTAGGCTTGCGTTCGGCAAGCGTTGCCGTAAAGACGGGATTTCCTATAAACGTCAGACGCGTGCGTCTGCGTTTAAGGTGGCTCACGAAAATTTTTAATAATTATAAATTTAGTTGAAAATTTAAGAGAACATTCTTCATCAACAAAAAATCGCAAAGTCAACGACGATAAAAGTATTGCAAAAGAATCGTTATAAAAATTTCTTTTTAACACGAACCTTATGGAACTGTAGTTGATATTGAGAAGTTAATCACTTCTCATTTAGTTACAAATAATGACATTTTCATAAAAGATTAGGTGGTTACAAATTTTTTTACGGAGATTATGATGGCGCAAAAAAAAAAAGATATGTTGATGATTAAATAAAACTAAAAATTAACATCAAAGTATGGAAACTAGATAGGCTTTTTCAAAGTTTGCAAACTGGTGAGTGTCAACGTCACTTGTGTTTCTTTGGTTTGATCGACGAACTTTCCGATTTTTTCTTAAATATTAAAAAAAAATTTGTTTTTTCCACTTATTTGTAAATTTCTTTTCCATTTCGATATTTTGAAGTAGTTTAAAATATTAATCGTTCAAATTAAATTGGTAACATTAATAAAAGGTATAAAGCGTTATATGAAGCCTCAGCTAGATACTACACCAAACGCATGAGCTTCCTTAAGGGTGCCTCTGGTCAAAGTGCTCGAAACGTGATTTTCATGAATTTACAAAATCAAACAATAGAATAACATACGGTAAAAAGTCGTTTTGATCCTTGTTACTGAACACTTGAAGAATAACAAAAATTGTATTGTTCAAATTTTACAAATGTTTGCGACAAATATATAGTACTCATTGTACTACTGTAGAAATTGAAGGTCTTGACGAGCGCCTTCATAACTTACGATAGAATTGTCTTAAGTCAAAAACCAAAGAATATTCTTAAAATATGTGTTAATGGCTATCGCCTCACCTATTCTTAATCCAAAAAAACAATCAGGCGATCTTTGGCACGTGTTTGAACAGAATGTTGCAAAAAAACGGACATTTTCACGCATAAATTTGTCCATAAAATAAAAATAACTTATCCAAAGTTAATCTCCGTAGGTAACGCGATAGCGACGTGAATTATGAATAAAACGTCGTAAGAAATTTTGAAATCGGTCTATAAATTAAACTTTTTATCGTGGCACTCATGGAAAAAGTCGCGTTTTGAGAAAAATGCATTTGAAGGTTTTTTTTCCATTCTCGAGTTAATGATATATGTGTGTATATATATATAAACGATTTATATATATATATAGAGCACTGTTAAAGTTTTTTACCTTCAATTAATTATTCCTGCACCGTACAACAACCCTCCCAAGACTTCATATTCAATATACAACTCGGCGGTTGACTTCCGCGATGCGCTTTCAATCTCTCTTGATTATAAAATTTTCAGCGTTACGACTGATATTAATATTCAATAAGTCCGTAATTGTTAATAAAGGTTTTCATCTTTCATTAAACACGCATGTCGAAACCCAGGCCGAAGTTTTAAGAATGGTTTTTTCGACAAGAACACGTGTTTCAGAACAAGTTGTCATATACCTACACGTATTGCAAATTTCGTTATAATTTTAAGTATTTATTTCTATGCAACATGTTAAAAGTCCATCAGAAGTCAAGTTTTTGTATACATACTGGGTTTACGATTTCTTGTACTTTTGGATTTAATCTTTAGAGTTTAGAGTGCTACATGCGGTCGGCGCGTTTACATGCTTGGAGGATATATACTTCTGCAAATTTTTTACTGAAACTTCGAAATAGCATTCTTGAGATGTTATACGATGAAAAACACAAATTTTGACCGGAGAGTACCCTTAAATGAGCTTTGACCTATGTCTAATTGATATATCCTCACTCTGTTCCATTCTCTTGAACGTGAAATATCTGACAAACATCTGTTTCAGATACCGGACGCACGCGTCTGACGCTCATAGGAACTCCCGCCTTTACCCCCGCGTCGTTGTTAGACGTCGCGTTCGCGTGTCGACCCCCACTGCTCTAGCGCCACGTAGCTCATAGGATGCTACAAGATAGATTTAATTAGGTTACATTAATTCATATAATTTTTTTCGGTCATAAACATTAAAGGTTCCGCGTAAATAAAAATCTAATTAAGATATCTACCAAGGGAAGTTAATAGCTTACAACTTTCTTGAGTACCAGAATCAATGAATAAAAAACGATTTATATTTGAATATTCGTAATCGTTCTAATAAAATTTGTAAAAACAGCCCTTTTTATTGCACTTTAGAATTTAATTATTTCAAGTACTTGACTAGACACTCGACCTTAATATGTATGTTTATACAAACCATATCAGGTGCTTTTCCAATGTAAAAACAGTATATTTATATATTTAAAAATTAATTCAAAGGAATAATTATCAAGTTCATTCTGTGTTTAATTTTTTAAAACACAGGTTTTTGTATTGAAAAATTGATTTAAAAAATAAAAATACAGTAGACTCTAACTATATTGCCACTGAACCATTGCTACATGAAGCACTTCCCCTTACACGTACTTTCGCGCACACAAATTCGCTCTCCCACCATGTTGCGTACGCCGGCGCACCAGCACGATCCAGCTTTTGCCCAAGCGTTGAGGCAGAGGCCATGGCGACAGAACTTAGCATGGAGGGGGCTCTAAACTCATTGCTGTTTTACTCCCAAACAGTCCCGAACATGCCAATATAGTTAGACTCTAATGTAATACTTTTTAAATCAAATTTAATGAAGTTGAATTGATGCATTCTGGAATCACACATGAAAAATCTTCATAGATGCTTTATATCTTCCAATGAGATAATAAAATCTTCAACTTTGTTAATTTATAATTCCCCAAATTCATTATAAAGAGTAAAGTCATACAAATTTTTCGTGCATCAAATATTTAGTGATGAATAAACATATTCAATAGTTGTAAAAAGCTAATTAAAATATCTATATTTTCAATTTTAAAGAACTTTGAGTTTTACTAGTTTGTCCAAATTTTGAAAGGAATAATGGAAATATTACTAAAAATAACAATTCAAATATAACTGTGGTAACTGGAAAACAGTTGGTAACTATGCATCTTCAATGGATAAATGATAATAACATTTGATTTTATATCTTCTACTGATGACTTCTATGTTTGGATATTTACTTTTGCTTCTTCCATTGTAGAATTTTATACTGTGAAACATCTTCATAGTAGGTCTTCTAGTTATTCGACAATAACATATTTAAACATGCACATTCCCACACCAGGATCTCAAGAGAATGCACAAAATATATTTATTAATTTAAAGGATTCGTAATTTTGTATGAAAAGTTAATTATTAACCAACAAATCCCCTTGTTAATATAGTTGAAGCATAATTCTTTGTGCAAACTCATAAAAAAATATATATACACAATAGCAAGCAAAAAATATTCTAAGCAAAGCGGTAAACACTTTAAATAAAAAATGTTGTGCTTACGTATTGCACATTACGTGATTGCTATAGTGATCCAGCGTTGTATTCCAAATTTGCTATGCCCTAGATAAATTAAGACTGTTATTATCTTCGTGAATCAGCGTTACACTTGTGTAAATCCTTCGATATCATAGGTGATTCATTATAGCATCCAAAACTATAATCTTCATGGCGGTAGAAGTTATTAGAATTCACCATCTTCAAGCAGCATATTTCATGAAGTGAAGATTTCAAAACAAATTTTTTATAACGGAATTATGTATTTCAAAAAGGATAAAACGAATCCAAAAAGCAGATATTGTTCCCAAACTTTAACTGTCCAATTGTGATTCATAAAAAACCCAGAAATATTAATCTTCAGTGTTGATTTCATTTTGTCAATCTCTTTTTTCACATTTCTTCACAGAATAACTAAAATGTTACTGAAAAATAAAGTACATAAACAATAATTTACCCGCTCTCCTTTTCACCACCACATCTTCAGGATTGACAATATCCCTTTCAAGATCCATGGTATTTGATTTTCCAGGTATATTTCTATGAATATCTACTTTGATTCTTCGTAGCTCTGTAGCACTAATTTGTGTTCCTTCTGGTCCTTTAAATAATGGTGTTGTTCCATCCGATGACTCTAGTCTACAATGTAAAAAATCAAGCATTTATGTCCACATACTGAACTTCTGCAGAAGAAACAAAGTAATTAATGTACACTAGCTATTTTTTTATCTCAGCCTGTGGAAGCAAGATTTTTTTAGATCATTATATCCATAAATAATATTTCAAACTTAAATGCTATTCTACATCAAATATTAGAGATTTTAATAAATTGTATTATACATACATTTTGTAGGTATTTACCTTTCAGAAAGAACCGGAGTTTTTGTTGAACTACAAGTGGATGATCTTCTATGCCGACTTTGTGGAGATTTGCTTTTACTTCTACTGGGACTATGACATGGAAGTTTCGGAGGCGGTAAACCTTTTTCACGAGCCCGTCGAAGTTCGTATTCTAAAATCTTTTTTCTTTTCAATCGTTCATGTTCCCGTACCCGTTCTTGTTGGATTATCCACTCGCGTCTCCGTTGCATCTTCTCTTCTTCTGTTTTTGGACGTGAAGCACCGTACTCTTCGCCTCGTGAAGATTTTTCCGATTTTTCTTCGTGATGCGAAGAACGTGATATATTTCGACGCATTTCTACTACGGTGCACAAAGGATAAATTATTAAAATTATCATTACTAATAACACAAACGAGATATAAGAATAGACCCAACATCTTATAGGACTTGGTGTCCCACGAAAATCACGCTGGTACGAGCGCACTTCTACATAAACGCTTCCGATTTCAGGAACTCTTTACGTTCGACCACGTTCAACACCGTGATAACGAACAGTAACAGACTGGAATACTGAAAATTACATTGCATGTTAGATCTATTCTTATATCACGTCTGTGCTAATAGATAAATCAAATCGATTTAAGGTTAGATGCACGTAACGATAAAATAAAACTGCACTTTGATTACGAAAAAAATTACCTCTTTATCGTATAGAAAAATTTCGATTGAAGAACAAGAGAACGAACGCGAAATAAAAATAGTTAAATTTGCATACGTTACAATGCTTACAAGTATTACTTAAAGATTGAAGAATACAGATACACAATATATCACACACGACACGCACGCTACACAAATCACAAACCGATTGAATGCAATTGAATGCATATCTGAGCTTCAGTTTCAATTCAATTGAAAGTAGGGGGAAATTCCAGTTTGAACTTGTCTCACCTATAGAAAACCTGGGTACTGCAAGGTCATTACAAAGGGCTAGAATACCTGGCGAACCTTTTTGACCTGAGGCTGAAATTCACTGAAATTCAGAAATCGATTTCAGGTACCTATGTATTTAGCAGGGGGCGGCACTGGGCGGCACTCTCGTGTTAACGAATCGACAGTGTTTCTATCGGACCCAGGGCCAACACTCTTATGCAGGGTCTGCAACTCAGAGGTTTGGCTTGGACGTTTTGCAGCGCCGTTGGTGATATGAGTCGGTACTAAAACGAGTGCCGGATATCCGGGACGCGTTTGAATTTCGGAACGATTTATAATAGACGAGACAGTGAATGACTGGCGGCTACTGTATGAGATCGTGTATAATAAATTTGAGTTATAATAAATTTGATATTAGGTGTTCGCAATTTTAAATATGTTTATTAAATTTATTACATAATATACGTATATTAGTATTAATAATTACTGCTCTTGTGGGTGAGCTGTCGTCACGGAATTTGTTTTACCCCAAATGTAGTGATATAAGTATGCGATAGATGGAGTTGATAGCGTCTATTTTGTAGGGAGCGGATACTGCCGTCTGTCTCCCTCCGTAGTGTCGCCTTCTCCCGCAAGGAGAAAGAGGCGCGTGCATCGCGTTGCCGCCTGACGCACACGACTCGTAGACAATAAAGTCTTTGTTCCATACACGTGACAGTATTATTTAACCTCCGCGCTACAGTGGCCGGGACGTAATATCCCTAGCGTCCCTCAACGCCACATGTGAAACACTCGTGATTCGATCACGTTCGTTCCCAATCACGGTGATTTTTCACAGTGATTCGTGATTTCTCGTGATCGTTTCTGATTGGTGGAGAAACCTAACAGTTCTTTACACACGCACATAATATGTATATTTTATATTAACGAAATTAAAACAAAAATTCGAGTTATATCATATAAAGTGAAGGAATAATTAGAAACAATGAAGAATAATGAATAAATTAATGATTAAAAATTATAATCTACATGTTACCTAGCAAATCATTCTTTTAGAATTTCTTGTTTTTTCTACTGATTTTTACAAACACAAATAGTAATGTCATTCATCGTGAAATCATAGTGAATACGTTTTCCTGTTTAAAGATCAAGAACATACGATCGCAATGAGCAAATTCACTCAAGATAAAACAATCGCAATCACGGTCGTAAATGAAGTTAATTCACAACCGTGATTATGATTCGGTGATCACTGTGATAAATCACCGTTAGTGATTTTACACGCCATCTCTAACCGAAACCGTTTTGTAATTTGATTATTTGTATGCAATCCTTTAAGAAATAGCAATTCTGTGTGAAATTTTCACATACTTCTATATTGATGAAACTGTGCGTTCTATGTGGTAAGAGACCCCGTTTGTGTCAAAAAGTGGGGTCATAGAACCCCCGCAGGAGGCGCCAGAGACCTCGTGTGGTGAAAGCGTGGGGTCAGAGCCCCTTGCGGCGAGAGCGTGGGGCCACAGAACCCCCGCGGAGACGTCAGAGACCCCGTGTGACTATAGCGTGGGGCCACAGAACCCCGACAGGTGGCGTCATAGACTCGTGTGGTGAGAGCGTGGAGTCACAGAACCCCCACAGGTGGCGCCACTGACCCCGTGTGGCGAGAGCGTGGGGTCATAGAGCCCCCGGAGGAAGCACCAGAGACCCCGTGTATGTGAGGAAGTGGGGTATAGTACCCCCGGAGCATGCGAAGTTTTGAAACGTGATCGTTTATCGCTGTGTTCGTACCAGTCTCGAGATTGGTCTAATGTTGCTCGTGCAATTGTCGAAATCTGACTGACACTTGTCCGTGTTCCCGTAAACAAATTATACAATAACCCGAGCAACCATAGCAGTTTCTGCAGATACTACTACAGCTCAAGTTTAAAAGACGTAGGCAGTAATTAGTTTCTGTAGTAACCTGTTGAACCAGACAACTATAATTAGTATAAGATTGTACAATATTTATGCAGTTATATTTAAGACAATTCGATGAAATGAAGCTTATATTACATGACGTATGTTTATTGGAATATACATGTATACATATAAATTATAATGATATAAAAGTTTGAAATACAATACTATGCGCTACGGTACAATACGTCTATTCGATTCAATTGCTCCCTTGCGACTACAACATCATGCAATCCGCGTTCGGCGCAGTGCGCTAATACGAAGGCCAATGAAATATCACTGTAACACTTGAAAAAGTTTCAAAGTTCTATTTATATCATTGTCCTGTGAAAATTTTCATACTTCCAACAGCATTCATATACCAATCAAAGAATTTACAGAATAAGGAAAAGGAATCTAAAGTAATGTTCAGTAGTTCCATACATCTTCATCTCGCATAATTTTCTAAAACATTCAAAGTAATAGACATTTTTACACTTTGAATCCCATATCGATTTCTAAAATAATCCTAGTTCGATGTAACATAGAACGTGGTTTTATGAGATAGATTCGAAGTTCGCAGCCATTAGCTCGATATTATCCTCAGTTTACAGTACTTTACCGATGATAATACCGATTGCCCAGGCCTCACCACGAGGAGGTTGCTGCGAGTGGAGGCCCAAGTCAGGTCGATGGAATCACAAGTTCTACATCTACCCACCTTTCACAATAAACCTTATAAATAACTTAAATCTTAACTATCTAATACTATCGGTACTAAAATCCCTCGGCGGATGACTTCTTTCTTGAGCCTAAACCTATAAAAGACTAAGTTCCCTCGTCGGTTGTCTTCGTTCTTCAGCTTAGAACTAATATTATCTTAATATTCTAATTAATACGAATTAATGCTATTAATACAAAATAACTTAAATTAAACGCAACGTAGTCGCTAATACTCAAACGAAAGAGATAGACGGAATGGAAAAAGTTCCATCGATCATTTCGTTTGCGCACCTAATATTCTATGTACCAATTTTTACAAATACGAATAGTAATGTAATTCATCGTAAAATCATATTGATTATGTTGTTCTGTTTAAAGATCAAAGACCTACGATCGCAGTGAGTAAATTCACTCAAGATAAAGAAATCGCAATCACGGTCGTAAATAAAGTTAAATCACGACCGTGATCATGATTCGGCGATCACTGTGATAAATCACCGTTAGTGATTTTGCACGCCATCTCTAGTTTTGACATTCCGTAGGTCCGTTAAAGGTTATGTGAGCTATTAATCAGACTGAATCAGACGAGATCTCATCTGTGGTATAGTTTGAGTACACGATAAATAATTGTTTATACTCTTCGTAGTACCATTTACACGTAAAGGTGTACTTACGTTTATGTAATTGTGCATTTATGGTATACAATTTCACGTGAATAAAATACAGTTGAATGACAGCATAATTTACATTATCATTTTGTGCAGCTGAAATTGTTTGTAGCACAATATGATGCTTAAAATGTGGGAATCTGCGGATAAAATTGTGAGGAAAGATGTGATAAATCCTGGATTTTTTTTGTGGAAACCGACGGAATGCGCCAGTTGCGGTGTTCTTATTGAAAATATACAGGTTGTTAACACATCCGCAGATGATTTGAAAGAAAAATTTAATTCGACTATTTTAGATGGTACAAATGAAAAAACATTAGTTATTGGTGAAGCTAATTGTGAAATAGATTGCCATATTGAACGAGCAATTCAAATGATGAATATACATGAGAAGAGTGTAGTCACTTTGAATATTTCATTAGAAAACAATGATAAGCCTTTAATTATAAAATTCGAAGTAACATTAACTAAAATGGAACCATATGAGCCAATCTGGGAATGGACACCAGAAGAAAAGTACAGAATAGCATTAAAATATAAAGAATTTGGTGTTGTTTTGTTTCAACAATCTAGATGGGTTGATGCATTTCATAAATTTAGTAAGGCTTGTAAAATACTTATAACATTGGAACCAATATATGATTTAAAGCTAGACAAAAGATTGGAAGGGGATATTAATAATTTGAGATTGGTATTGTATAACAATATGGCTGGATGTCAATTGAATCGTAAAAATTATGAATACACTATTTCCTTGTGTACCAAAATTTTGAATAAAGAAACCGATAATGTTAAAGCTTTATACAGAAGAGGAGTAGCATATGGAAGTTTAAGAAATGTGGAAAATGCAGTTGCCGACTTAAAAATGGCTGTTACATTAGAACCAAACAATTGTGCTGTTAAAGAAAAACTTTTAATTTACAATACTAAAGTGCAAGAAGCAAATGAAAAATTTGAAGACATGGTGAAAAAAATGTTTAAGGTATAATATTATTGTATGTGCTGCAATTATAGGCATAAAATATATTTGTATTTTATAAATAGAAAAATATGTATTTATTTTTATCCACAATAATTTACACTAGAATTAGATTAAATTATTTAGAAATTACAGCTAAGAAAATCTGTTGCATTATGCAACCTTAACACTAGGTTTATCCTTATTATTATTTCTATTACAATATCTTCATTACAAAAGCATGTTTAAAATATTTGTTGTGTACATGACGAATGTAGAAATGTTGTATTAAATAGTTACATTACATTATTTATCAATAGATCTTGTTTTAATAACTTGGTGAAGTTTTCTATTGCAAGTCATATTATATTTTCAATAAAGTGCTTTAAAAATTATATCCTTATTTTACCAAATTTGCTGTTAAACTATGTTATCATGTTGCAAACGTTAATAGAAATACTTTTGCATTACCAAAATATTCATTAGAAGTTAAAGTACGCATGAGGAAAGTAAATTATCTTCTCTCGCCCAGCTGTAATTATATGGTGAAATTAGTTGAATAATACATGCATGAAAAATAACAATGAGGGATAGTGTAATACAATTTTGCAATTCTTATAATTAAATAAAATGTAAAAGTATCATCAAGTAATTTAAATTCTTATATGGCTGTAGACAAATTACTTTTAAATATACATATGTAATAACACCTTTACCATGATATATTTTTACAGAATTTTAAAAATGTCTAGTAAGTTGGAACATCTATATTATAATAATATTTTTCATTAAAAAGCTTTTGTTCACTACCATGTAAATATTGCTCAATGAGGCCATCAATGTTCCTGTTATATCACAGTAAAAGTGATCACTAAAAAAATGAAAAATAAAATTTCCTTATTTAAACCTCCACCATATCATTATTACAATCCTTAAAATATAAAACCTTCGTTTATGTGATACAAAAACATGTTTATATATAACAAGTTCCTAAATAGGACCAAGATTAACAAAGATAATGGTGTATAACATGTACTCAAAAATGAATATTAGGTACAATTGTAAATCACTTGCTAATAAGTATTGTTAAGTACATAGTAAGAATTAAGTGTAACACATATCAATATCAACTTGGCAAGATACACTTCCATAATTTTATTTTATTAAACTCCAACTACACGTTTCAGAAATATTGTTCATTATTTTAATTTCTTGTTTGGCACTCATGCAAATAGTAAATTAACATAAATGTTTAACTTTACTATGTCTAATATATACGCAACAAATATATGTATATTTACGGAAAAATAATTAATGTTTAGATGTAGTTACCAGCTATAATGCATAGTTGAATACTTTTTCTATCAAAGAGTATAGTTTACTAAAAATGATAATGACTGTTCACAGGATTGATTTAGTAAGCTTCTAAACTTACTATTAGTGTTAACAAAATCTGGCATATGTAATATGCAAATTTGAGCACTATTAACACCACATTGACAACAAGATCCATCTTATGAACCAATGTACATACTTCAGTTTCATATAATTTTTAGTGAATAGATTTAGAGAAAAATCTTAAACTATTTTGAATTCCAAAAATAATGAAAAACATTATTAGACTTTGTATGCAAGTTTTAGTTCACAAGATGTCATAAACAAAGTAATATATCTATATTAGACTGTTGTTGCGATGTGTTAGATGTGTTTAACAAAAACATACAATAAACTACATGGCATATGTGTACATTTACTTTATCGTAGTTACATATACTGTGAATTTAGAATTCGTTAAATGTGAAAAACACTGAGAAATATTTACATTTTCGTTTATTAAAAAATTATTCAATACAATAATAACTGCTGTAGAATAAATCTGGCACAGACATAATTTAACTATGGTAGATCGTACCTAGAGCAATGCATAAATATACAAAGTGCGTATTATTTAATTTCATCTTTTAAAAATACTTTAATATGTTCCTTTCTGTGAGTTTGAAATGCACTTAAGTATGTTCTCCTAATGAAGAAGTTAAATATGAATCTGATGATATCAAAACATGTAAAAGTACCTGTACTTGTTTAACTTTTTTTTCATATACATTTCAGTAAAAAAGAAATAATTAAAGCTAATTCTAAACATTAACAACCCCAAAATAGCAGTTTTTGTCCAAATTACAATATCATTCACCAGTAATTGTGGAATTTTATTTATCTAAGTAGTGTCAATGATCATAGACAATACTAAGAACTATGATTTTCAACAATTTAACTGTACATACATTCACAGTCGCTTCAGATATTTATTAAAATGTCTCCTGTTGTGACTTAGAGAACAAGGAGCTATACAAGTACTTATGGCCTCGTATTATACGATCAAAACATTGAAATTTTGTTGAAAATTTGTTATGCCATTTACTGGATTTTAATACACAGATGTATGTTTTCATGGACTTGAGAAACTAAGTTATGAAGGGAATGAACGTTACGCTAGCTTAGGCTTGCCATTGGCAGTGGCGGTGGCATTCATTGTTGTATTTGTAGCCATTTCAGCAGCATGAGCCACTGCTACAGAAACTGACTTCTCCATAAACTGTTGGTAGAGTGGTTTCATGAACTGAAGAGAAATAAAAATAATTTTTTTATAATATTAATACTGATTTGTACAAATCTTTTAAAAATTAGAAACATATAAATAAATTATTGCAATTCTTCTTAGTCTTGTATGAGTCATATAATATGAAGAGTGAATATGAAAACTGTAATGCTCAGTTAAATATATGATTATATTACTCTTAGAAGTTTAACAGAACATGAATTTGAGATAGAATGCATAACAGTTCTTGTTGACATTTGAGTTTCATAAAAAAGTAAAAATCACAGTTAATTCTCTATTTACTATAAGCAATTGTCATACCTTTTGAATACTCGCTCCTGTTAGCATTCAGTTTATTATCAAAATCAAACAAAATAAAAAAATATAAAAAGACTCAAATAAATGGTATAAAAGATCTAAATTATGCAATGAAATAGTATGTTACCAAAACTAATGGGGTGTAAATACTATGTAAATAATAAGTATGATTATTCTTAATAAAACATTAAACTATAGTTAAAATGATTCATAAAGTTTGTTAAAGAAATTATAAATGTTAGTAACATGCGGATTATTAAATAAATTATAAATATTTTTCATATGCAGATTATTAAATAAATTATAAATATGTGTCATATGCAGGTTGTTAAAGAAGTTGTTAATGTATGTCCAAATATTTTGAGAAAAACATAAATATTCTGAAGAAACAAGAGATGTTTTCCCTTCTAGTTTTCGAAAGTACTCAAATATATATGCATATATGTCTAAAACAAAAATAAATATATGTTTTATAAATTCCAATGCAGCAGGGATTAGTAGAATAAGTGCAAATAGAGTATATATAATCCCAACCTGTAGAAATAAAAAATGGTAGGAATGAATTAGGAGACATGACGAAATGGTGAGTATCAGTTATATAGGTGAAGTACTTAAAACAGACTACTCTACTTTTTTACTTTTTGAGATAGTACAAAAGACACTCCAGACTGAAGTTAAGTTTGTTGAGTTTCAAAAAGGCTATTAACATTGTTTCAGTGAAATACTATATTTGTTACTTGTCTTTCAATAACATGCATTATCTTTGTTATCGCTAAAAACAAAGGAGGTATTTAAGTAGTCCATTTCAAATTCTTCATTCTGTATGAAGTATTTACATTTCAATGTTAATACATGCATATAAGGTGGTAGTAAACTAAAATACCTTTCTTCACAATATAAAATTAAAGAAATTCATTATATGAAGTTTTAAATATCAAAGCTATCAAAATATTCATAAAAACTTCCATTTATAAAAAAAACTTGAAAGTGATTTGATGTACACGGCTTATAGATTATACAGGTACTACAATCTATAGATAAAATTTGTACAAGATATTTTTTATAATTATAGATGAAAGTGCAGTAAAGATGTTTTTTATAATATTTATTAGTAACATTAGACTTAAATATTCCAAAAAGAAAGAATACTTAACAGATTAAAGTATTTGTAGTTACAATTATAACTATTTCTTATTGATTTGTCGCTTTGCATAAATAAAAGCTGGGAAAATATTCTTGACTTTTGTTAAAATCCTGCATATGAAATATAAGACAAGGTTAGTAGCTTTTGTGTCCATAGAGTCTTTACAGCCATTTTGTACTAATGCATTGTTTCCCATACATACACACACGCGCGCGTACTATAATAAAAGTAATCCTATCAAGATGTGTGAATCCCTATATTTGTATATAAAAAGTGAAAAATACATTACTTACATTGTCCCACAAGATATTTGCCACTTCATCTAGTGTTGTACCAAGTGATCTAAAATTACCACTGTACCTGTGTGACAAATAAAACAAATTCATGGTAATGCAATGATATAGTGGAAAACAATCGGTATATGAAATGTATCTATGTATGTACCTTATATATGTCCATAAAATAAGTGTTATTATGCAAACACCAAGAGCGAAGTTAAAAATATTTGCTATAGGGTATAATCCAGTAAAACCAAATATTCCGGATAAGAAGTACATGGCAGCAGCAATTACGCAAAACACTGCCGGAGTGCGTGCTGCTTTGAAAATGTTTTTACTTTCATTGTGATCTTTAAACTGAACGAAAGCATCTTCCATATCCTAGGATGTGTAAGAAATTATTGTTTACAATAATTAAGTTATAAAAACACATGAAAATAAAAAGTATATTGTATACTTTACATCTTATTCTAAAGATTAAACTATTTATTGTATTGTATTCAAACATAGTATCCCGAATACATCTTATACTTAAATAATGTTAATGTTTCAAGTTATTAAAAGGGTGTATCAATCGCAATCCTCCTCTAAATATTACACAAATGTGTACGTTGAACATTTTTTTACCTTCTTTAATTTTTCCATATACGTCAGACTAAATTCGTCTCCTCCCATTTTTCTTTTATTTTGAAACAGGTAAATAGCTTTATCGACACAACGGAAATGTTCGGATTCTAAATGAGCCGTTCCCAAAAATGGTTTTCTTCCTCCACAAACATCTTCCATAGATCTTATGTAAAGTTCTTTAGCTTCTGCGACGGCTGTTAAGTTGTTCGCTTCGGCCGTTGCCTAAAAATACAATGTGCATTATAAAAAAAAATCGAAGATAGAAAGTAATGACGAAGATACGTAATTAGGAATAAAAACTTACCACTAACATACTTTTCGGTTCAGGGAGCTCATCTCCTTTGTAAATTTTCATATAACTTTTAAAGTATTCTAATAAATCTTTCGCTTTAACAACCTGACCATTAATTTTTTTTGTAACTAAGTTTTCTGGAGCTAATATCATAGGTATCAGCACTTTCAACTGTTCCTTAAAATCTGATTGAATTTCTGCTAGTCTACCATCAAATTTTGGGTTCGTGGCGATGTTGAGACCTGGGTGTGGCAAGAGGAAGCAAGATATATCCGAGAAACACGACTTGATGTGCTTTCTTAGACTTTGCAGTTCTGGGTGCTGTTTGTCAGATACTTCCAATCTTCGTCGTAAAATTTTGTTTCCGCCCTCTGAACCATAGTTCGCTTCGTATGGGTAACTCCAGTCCCTTACTAAGAATTGCAACTTTTGGAACGGTGTGCGTCCAGACTTTTCTAGCGCAAGCCTACCGTATTCAGTAAACAATTGCAAATGTTGCAGATCATCCTCTTGGATATTTTGTGACAAATTATAAATCTGTACCGACGATAACATTGTGCTAAGTGCAAATACTGTTGCACAATCCCTGACCGTACTCTGGCTATCAAACGCACCTTGCGTGTCCATCAAGATGATGGCCACTTTTTCACCACTCAGTAAAGTGCCAGGAAATACTTTTGACCACATTAATATCCCTGTTGTGTCTCTTTCTGAACCTCCTTTCCATGAGAATCCACTGAGTGGTTCATCTTCTTTGCCCAACCAGGTATCCGTTTTATTATTGTTGTCATACTAATCATGATAAAATAAACATTTTCAGGTAAGTATTAAAGTTATAGTTAATAGTTTCATATCTAGTATAATTCATATTAATTAGTTTCAACCTAATCAGTAGCATACCTTACAATTCATGTATCGAAGGAAAAAATCTAGCAGGAAGCTTTTGCCTTTCCTGAAGGCTCCTGCTACAGACACAACGACTACATTTCTATCTTTAATGTCATCCTGGAGTAGAATAGCCGCCAAAGCTTCCTCATTTAACTCGAAGGTGTGATCTGGATGAGCCAATACAACTTGTACAGGTCTTCCCTGGTTCAGTATATCTTCATTGTCCTTTGGAATCCGTTCTATTCTTTCCTGCCAACCTAAATGATCTAGGAAAGGATTAATTGAAAAAATATCATATTATTTGTTTAATAACGCAACATTCTTCTGAAGATTCACATAGAAAGTATTAATATTATTTCATGCTGGCAACAGTTATTTAATAGCATATAAATTTATCTTCAACAAATTGATACTGTGTATCTATTATCGTACAAAATAAGACGTGTTTTTTTTAACTTCAATAAGGAAGCAAAGAGGATGTAACATTTATTAACAATTTGGGTTTCTTCGGAGAAACATCTGAGGAGAGCCTTAAGACTAAAGAAGGATTAAAGGAGAAGAGAGGGAAAGCAAGCGTGGCATTAGGAGACCATAACGTAGCTGACAATATCCAGGTACATGAATTTGTCGTGTGACGGTGTAATTTATCGTAAGCGGTATGAAAACAAATACACCGAGACGAACTACTACCGTTTATGTATGTAACACGCTGACTCGTGACACGTGGCTCGGATCACCTGGTAGAGTACAGGATTTTAATTGTTGCCAAACATGTCTTTCTCTTCTGTTCAAGGGTAGAGATTAAACAATAAACTTTTGTTCAAATATAATAGATATAATAGTTATTCCAAATTTCAAAAAAAGATTAAATGTGTATACTTTTAAGAAAAAGTTCAAAACATTTTTAAGCAGTAGAAGTACAAACGATAAGTTTAAAATATTAAAGTGAACTTTTGTAAATGCTTGTGTAAACAGAGATACTGAAACAGTGATTGGTTTGACAAGGAACACTATAATTGGCCAGTCACCGGTAAATGTTTATCGAAAATAAACATTTGTTTCAATGAACAATACATTTGTACAGCTTTGAATTTTTTTTTATATGATACAAGAAAATAAAGAAAAAAGGAGTATACTAATTAAGTAAATAAGAATTGTGTGATTTCTGAATTTGCAATATGAATGTATGAAAAAAAGAATCATCGTAACTTTTGTTTTAAACATTTCTTTGTACAGTTTGCGAGTAATTTGAAATCGTCGAGTTAAGTGAATCTGATGACTTGGTACATGAAACATCTCTGAAACACTTTTTAACGGTACAGAAAAAAAAGTTAGAGAAAAAATTGTTCACTCAAAGGGGTAAGTAATCCGATAAGCAGGAAATTTTCCGTAAGAACACATTTTATGTATTTTTCAATGTAACAGGTGTTTTCTTGAACAATGGAATGTTATCGTAGAAAAGGAAATATGTAGTAATTACTGACAAATGTAGGTTTCAAAGGTTCCCTGTACTTTCGTTTTCAAGTACAGTTCCCACGGTACGCGACTACCTGGCGGTGAATACCGTTCAATGATAAGGTATGTGGAAGTCTCTCACAATTTGCTTTCTATACGTTTTCATAATGCACATATACTTGCGCGTGAACTGAATTGCTAGCCCAGTCGGGTGTACATCGTCGTTTATACGAATGATATTTTACGTATGCGAGGAATTCAAAGAATTCTTTTCCGCTACAATGGATTCCATTCAAGTGTCCATCGACTTGGGTCTGCAGACGATCAGAAAATAGGCGAACCAATTTTATTCAAAAAGAGCAGACGTAAGTTTTTTCTGCTTTCCAATATATGTTTCGAATACCAAAAAATCGTTGGATCAGTGCACATCGTTGAAAGAAATGTGTATATCAAATTCATCGAGAATAACAGATTAGATCTATCAATGAGTAATACAATATTGTTTTTTATAAGGTGACAGATAATTTAGACACATTGGATTTGGGTTTTGATCGATTATAATTTAAATCATGTTTGTATTTTGTAAATTAAACAACATAGTCTGAATGAGATTTGAATGTATATTTACTGGAAGAATTGTAACTCGTGAATACGCGACGAAAAGTATTGGTTTGTACCGCGAAGAACTTCCTCCAATATTTTTTAAATATAATTCTGATCTATCATCATTACATCAACACCAACTATTATGTAACCACTAGATCAGCATTACTCACTTTGAATAATCCCCGTGAAAATTATTCACGACTAGGTACACCAGAAAAATTAAAATTTAAAGTTTCTTCCTGTATGAGTATTCCTCGTCCTAAGTAAGCAAAACTGGCGGTACAGATGACTTTTTTGGCAAATCTCTAAGAATCCAGAGAGGTATCCAAGATTCATTGCATATGGAAAACGAAACACTGTACAGCGTGTTCTTCTTTGCACACACACACACACAGGAACATTATAGAGGGTGTCCTCAAATACCTTCGACTCCCGGAAATGTGGGGTTCCTGGGATGATTTGAAACAACTTTTTCCTTAGCAAAAATGTTATCCGAGGCTTTGTTATCGAGATATTAACGAAAAACCCCGACCAATCAGAGCGCAAGTCTGCTGACCGAGTCCCCGCGGTAACATTAGCCACGCGTTGTGATTGGTAGCCAACGTTACCGTAGGAATTCGGCTGGCAGATTAGCGCTCTGATTGGTCGAGATTTTTAATTAATATCTCGATCACAAAGCCTTGGATAACATTTGTGCTAAGGAAAAACTTGTTTCAAATCACCTCACGAGTCTCCCATTTCCGAGTCCTTCAACATTTTTGTTACACCCTGTATAAAAAAAGATTTTTCCTCCTTTCCTCATTTGTCATTATACACCGAACCAAACGATTTCCGTCTTGGCACTCTGACATTTTGCGAAGCTGTCGCTTGGAATCGCGTTCAAAACGAAGGAGTGGATCCAGCAAGTCTCAGCGTCAACTGCAAGGAGAGAGAGAGAGCTCAAACGAGCTGGAGCGTTTCAATCTTACGCGACGAAACGTCTCCGAAGGAGCCCCCGAGCGATTACTTATTGCAAGCGAACGGCCAATTATACTCGCGCGAACACTAATTCTACCTCCTCCTCTCTCTTTTTCTCCCTCCCTTCGCTTCCGTCTTCTGCTTTTACGCCAGTCCCTCGTCATCGTCGTTGTCGTCGTCGTCGTCTGTAAAATACACACGCCGTCTGCAACACGGCAGCCGCCATTGCGGGGTGGTGCCTTGCAATCTTGCATTTACACGAATCATTACCGCATTTAAACTCGTAAATACAGGGCGTCGAATTTCTCATCTGGAACGGAGACGCGGGACGGTGCCCCGACAAGTGAAACGAGTAAAAAAGCTAAATACGAGAATTTAATTAACCGAAGCGTTAGTCGAGGCTGAATTGGAAAGAAGTAAATGTCGGGGCGATACAATTGGTCCCCGGTAAGAATGCATTACGGAGGCCTTCTCGAAGGCTTTCGTGAAAACTGGAAATACGACGTTTGTATATGTATATACATCCTGTTTGTTCCGATACGAGGAAAATAAAGAAACGTTAATTACTGGATACGATGAAAATTTAATCAGGAATCGATCTTTCGCGAAACGAAATTCCGTAAGAGACGATAATTTGTGACAGGCTGTTGACGCACCGAGTTTAATGAGAAACGATATTTAATAAGTCGAGGTTAGGACACGTTTACACAAATTGATTATATTACTGTAAATGTAGTGTAAAGTCAGGAAACCCTACGTGACCTCTTAAGTTAAGAGAGAACAATAAGGAAGTACTCCGAGGCTTTGTTAACGAGATATTAACGAAAAACCCCGACCAATCTGTCGGCTGAGCTCCCGCGGTAGCGCGTAGTCAATGTTACTGCAGATAGCTCAGCTGGCAGATTCGTGCGTTAATATTTGGATAACAAAGCCTTGGAGAATTTTTTCGCTAAGGAAAAAGTTGTTTCCACTCAGCCCACGAGTCACCCCTTTCAAGGACTTACAACTATTTTGGGACACCCTGTATATGCATTTAGTTAATAGAGGCTGATGATCTTGTTTCAAATTATATTGCGATATTGATTTTACTCAAAAATTTTGTAAGGGTATTTAAACAATTCAGCCCCTTTGTAATGTTTCAACTACGAGTTATCTCGTAGTTGTCGGTCAACGTGTTAAATGAGTTAAGGAAAGGAAGACGTATTTCAGTTGAAAGATGGTATTAATAGGAAAATGCTTATACACTAGTACATTGATCATTTGCAACCCCAAATAATTTTAAAGTATTTTTTTCGCTGGGTACATTCAGTAAAATATATATATGAAACTTTTTTTTGTATAGGATTATATAATTGTCAATAGTAAAACAAAGTGCACTTGTTGTAAAAGTTTTACATCGATCTAAATTGCATATTCACAAAATTTACGCTGCTCAAAACAATTGGAGGATCGTTACTGCCAGCGATGCTGATGCGTCAATCGGGCGAACCAAATGAAATAAATATTACAGTTCGATACATTGACATCTCTTGGTACGATACTAACACCTGATTTTACCTTTATAAAAAAAACTTTACAGGAATTATTGATGGACACAGCAGCTGTGTATCTGTGGCCTGTTAATTGTTTTGAGCAGTGTAGGATCACATCAAAATGGGTTCGTAAAGGGTTAAAAATATTTAATACTTCGAAAATAAGGTAGTAAACGTCAGCCAGGATGAAACGACGACAAAAGGCGAAGAAAAAACATTATAAAGCAAACGAAGCAGAATGTAAAAACTCACCCACTGGTTCGTTTGTTGTGTGTAGCTGTGGTACACGGTTCACATTCTCGTCGAGGGTCGTCATCGTAACTTTCTCGACTGAAAGCAAACGAGCGCGCATTTAGCTCCATCTGTTTTTCTCTTATCTATTTCGATGTTTGCATGCATGAATGATGCGCGTTTCCTAAATCTCTCTTTCAGGTGCATCTAAACGTGATGCACGCGATCGATCAATTGTTCTCGCTTTCACACACACACATACACACAGGCCAGTAGTAGACATTTAAATGCAAAGATAATATTAAAATTCAGTACACGGTACGCGAATGCTGCTAGCCATTTGGATTATAACTCACAAACGGAAAGAATCGTGTATAAGTACACAGTACAACAGTGGATTTTACTGAAGAGGAATTTTAAATATCTATCAGTCAGATTATAACTGTAGCTATTCTTCTAGAATGCCATCAATTGACCCTTTCCGACTGTAGAATTCCATTTCGAATCATTAACTTACTTAGCATTTATAACTCACATTATGAGCCTGAATATTCAATATGGCATCATATTGTATAGTTTAATTTTTTGCTAGTAGATGGATACATTCTCAAAAATAATATTTAGGAATTGTTTAATGAATTATCGTTTTTGTTTATGAACAATTTTTTTGTCTATTTTTTGTTAATTGTCCTACTTTTCCGATATTCAAGAAATACCTATATACAACAAAATATTTTCTTCGTTTGAAAGAAATAATTCAGGTCGTGAAGGGTTAATGACAAGTTAATTTACAATGCTGAAAAAAACATCGTAAATTTTTCATTTGTTACCAGTCGATGTTTCTGTAAATTTAGGCTAAAATTTCAGAAAATTGAAGATAGTTTCTTGTCTTACAGTGCAGGAAATGTACCATACGATCAGTAACCCTTATGCTATGCTCCCAGAATAATTCCTGAAAATAGCTCTTACGGCTTTATTCACTTGGAGAGTGGACTTGTTTATTTTACTGTCGATAGTACAAGCGTCAGCAATCATTCTACGTGTTCACTTTATAACTAACTTTCGTAAAATATCGAGAGTGGAAACATTCCAAAGTTGACTTTTCGGTCTGTCTTCACTGAAGGGTTCTGCTATCCAGAGTAAATGACTCATGTGGAGTCGACGCATTGGTGACATTTTGATTAAACGAACTCTCGAAAGAATCGATAAACGGGGCCAAATACTACGCAGTAGAGTGGAATAGGGGCCAAACATTTTGCAGCAATAGGTAACAAGCCACTATCGTATGGAAACTAAACCCTATTTTATTTCGAACTTAAGCCATTATATCGTTTCACTATTATATTTCGGAGGTTTACGCTACGGCCTACGGCCCCATTACCACGGATCCCGTTCCCGAGTTTTCTGGTAATACGCCAATTTCCATCACAATCAAACCCTCCGATTCTATTGAACCCGAAACTGCACACACTCCGTGATCGCAGCACATTCACGCGGATTTTACGTCACAGTTGTATTTTGAGGACCGTGTTTTGATCGGCGACTCCATTATTGCGAATCCGTTTTGGCGTTTCTGGTATTAAGCCAATCCCCTTCTCGAATAAACCGTCGAATGTCTGTCGTGGTCCTAAGTATCCCCTCATAATTAAGAGTCTTCACTTCAAGAATTCCATGATGGCGACCGTATTCCCCGAGTTATTGGTAACAAGCCAATCTTTCTCAACAAGAATCCCGTTCTACCATCTAGACGGATCCCGGGGCGCTCAATCGATTCTATTGCACCCGACAGGATCACGTACGTACAGATCGACGATTCCATAACACTAAATCAGCCAGAATTTTTTCACCAAGGAATTACCATTTATAGGCGATATCTAAACAGCACCTGGGTACTCCCCTATTTAAACGATCGCGTTATTATCACACAGATGTACGTTGAAGATCACTCTCGAATCGACCGTTCCATGGAATCTGTTCAGTCGAGAATTTCTCGGTAACAAGCCAATCCCCCCATAGTCCACAAACCGAAGCTCCAGGAACGATCGAATCTAAGCTATCTACCACCAATGGCCTACACGCGTATTTAAGCGATCATGCGTGTCACACAGGTGTGTATTTCGAGCGCACCACGGTTTACGTTCCGTTGCGTGGTCTCATTGACGCGGATCGGTTGATTTCTCGTCCTCGGCGGCCTGGTCGGTTCCCTTGGCCTGGTTACCGGTTCCTCGGCCCGTTTCCGAGTCGACGGTGTCTTTCTCCTTTCGCTCATCTTCGGTCGACGAGATCACATTCGTCACCAATGGGGCACTGAATATGCACGAAAACGATGGATTTCAAACGAGAAGCAACGACAAGAGGTGGCGGCGGCCACGGATCCGCGTAGTTAGACGACACTCCGCGCGCACACCACGATCAACTAGTAAGTCGCGGCAAAAGCCGACTAGAAATATCCTGGTGGTGGTGGTGGCCAGCCGATGGGCCGTGGTTAACGGCGGAAAGTCCGCGCGAGTTGGCAACATCCCACAATCAACAAATACCCGTGAAACCTGGGTGACACGGTTGCGGTGTGTCACCTTGTATCGCGACAGCCCGTATATAGCATGGATATTCTGTGCTCTTTACCTTTGACTACCAACCCCGTTTCTCGCCTCCTCCCTCTCTTTCTACCTGTGTCCCTCTTTCTCTTCGGGCTTGTCAGGCATGCATTTTTTTTGGAGATACAAAGAAATTATTCGAGTTGCTTTAGTTAAAATTTATTCGATTTATGATCGTGGAAACGAAACGCAAACGAGAATGGTTAAGTCTTAGCCTTGTAACATTGAGTCACACGCGTGATGACGATTTCAAATTGCAATTAATAAACATTTATGTAAATCGTTTTCTTGCAGTATTGTTTGAGACCTATATTCCTTTAATTAGAAGCTGTTAGCTGCTTTTATCATAAAAAGTAGCAAGGATGTACAATAAAGAGACTGTGCTTTTTAAGGACTTCATCCCAAACATACAATTTGAATTCATTAAATTTAATAGAAAAATAACTTTCTTCTTTTTAATGGAATTTTGTACTCTGTAGGAAGAAAAGGATTTTGCAGTCCTCCTAAATCGGTCACTGCTGTTCGTGTAATTTAAAAAAAAAATATACAAACATCAATGTTGGAAAGTTGAGTCAGCAGCCTGTCATTCGAATTCTTTTATTTCCCTATTATTGGAAGTAACAGAGGTTCTACTGTACTTTAAATTCATAACATGATTGCAGATTGCGTCTGACCATAGACAATTCGAATCCCCTTCGTCTTTCATTTTGCGTACTTCCTCTTGCTTTATTTGAACGTTCCAATTGTGCCCTCTTATATCTTCTCGTATTCATTATTTACTATTCAGTGTGTTATCATTAATTTCTGTCAGCAATACCGTTTACGTTTCTCAAGTTACGACATCGCGAACGCTCTCAATGAAAGAAAATTTTCCTTCTTACTCAACTGAATTGACAATTTACCGTTGTAAAGTGGTTAAATCATCTCTATCGCGACGAGGGTATAAAACGGACGACTTAGATATTAAAAACGACACAAGTTACAATTTAGTAAATTTTAGCGTTGAAAGAGGTTGACAAGTTGGCAATGATTTTCCGGACGGATATTACTGGCTGGCTGTGGTGAACGTAAAGCGTCGGTTCGCGTCGTATGCAGAATTTTACAGTTCTGCAAGGCCTATTTTTAACTTGGTCTTGCTATTTTTGCTTCATTTTGGTCAGGTAATGAATATAGGAAACATCCTACACAAAGTCGGGCCAGTTCAAATCTGGTTATATACGTCACAAAACAGATGCTTCGCGTGTGTCCACTATCTGTGCACGAATATAAATAAAAAGTACGCAAACGGTAACGGAGATTGCCACTTTTAAGTCATTCTGTTTTCGTAGGGTTGCATAACTTAGCGATAAGCGAGGAGATTCTTTTAAGTGAATTCCAAACGATCGTGACGCTTTCATTAAAGAGTGAAAACGTGCGTAAGTGGGCGTTGTACAGATGATAACAAATAAAACGAAAGTTATCAACAGAAAAATTACCGAAAGAGATTATTGGTCTCCTACGAGCTACTGGCCATTACGAATGAAGTAACACTTATCTTTTATCATCCTGTTTCGTAACGCTACGAGCGACATAAATGCACGACGATAGAGTTTGTGATGTCATGATAAACAAGAATTTAAATACTGAGATTAATCAGGAGGAAACAAATATTTGTAAACAGAAAAAGTGTTTCCTAGTGATTACGTATCTGTGTTTACTTCGTTATGTTCCTTCCTAATATTTACTGTTTCATCAAAGAGACGGGTTTGTGACTTGGGGGACAAATTTAATGAGTCGAATATTGTACATACGAGGTAAATGGGTACACATGTACAATATTGTACAAGATCTATGAGCAAACGTAGACTTCGACTAAATATCTTTTGGGCTTCAATGGTAATAAACAATGTATGTTGATACATTTCTCGACCCTTGAACGTTCTTGACCTTTGAAGCGTTTTTTAATGCATTCGCGTGTAACGATCTTACGTCAGTTTCTTCGGTACAGGTAGAGAGAAGTGGATGCTGTGCAATCTTATTATGTATAGCCAGAGATCTAGGAAATGTCTAAACTATTCCTGCAAGTATCCAAAGGCATGAAGCCAAATTTTATTAATCAATAAATCGAGTTCGAATTCAATATGATCGAAGAACAGTTATATTCCTGAATATTAAAATTTGAGGAATGTTATCTAATTTTTAAAAGACCCTGAGTACCTACCAGTGCATCTCATGTGTGAAGGTAAACGAAAAAAAAAAACATAATTTTTAGACTGTAATTTCAAAATTAACGACCATTCTTTATTTTTCATATTTATGTGATTTTTAAAGAATTATAAATCGGTCTATTGCAATTGAAAAAACAGTGGAACACGTATAGTTATGAAATACTTGCTGAAGACTTTGCTAACGACCATCGTATCTGTCATTCATGGTACTCTATGGCGGAAATGATCGATAAATTATTCTGTATACAAGTTTTTTATCTACACAAGAAGTGTTATAACGAAGAACCATCTGTAGAATTAATTCAATATCTTACGATACATGAGATAAAAGAAACACATCTCGAGTTTTATATAATAACAAGTATCTAAAGTTTCAATCCGGAATATGTATAGTATTTTTAAAAAATTCTGTAACCACATTTTCTGTGAATCTATCTGTCTACCTTCCTTTTTCAAGTTTAAAATATTTTCCCCACAGCTTGATTCAATTGTGTACCGCGGCGAATTTTTACATATCTACGCTAATACGTTTCAAAGGCACTATCTTAAGTATTTTGGACTCACAGTAATTATTTTTGCAAGATAAATAGGTTAGGTGTTAGTAGAACTTAATCGTTCAACTGACGTCTATATTATTACCGTCTTATCATGTTTTTTTACCCTCGATTCTCACATAAACAATTCAAGTTCCTGGAAAAAAAAACATAAATAGCACCCGAATTTTGTTGTTGTTATTAAGTAAGAAATAGCTTCCACACAGATATGTACAGAATTTCTGTATATTACCCTAATTCTGATAAATACGAAAAATCTAGGGATGTCCCATCATTTTGTTGCAAAGTGTGTAGATTCATGATTTCGTTTCATAGGTCAATGGACTTCTATTCAAAGTGTCTGGAACTTTTTGTCGATAATATAGATGAATCACAAAATATAAACGAAAGAAATCAACGGTACTTATTTCGCACAGTGTATGCAATATAGCCAAAACCGGTTAAAAACCTGTCTTTATGAATTCAAGAATTTGGGATGGCTCTGGAAAATGTGGGTCAAAGGAGATTTACATATAGCCGTCCGAGAATAAAAAATAATAACTTTGCAACTTGAAATAAACCGAATGCAAAGAACAAATAGTCCCTGTATTATATATTTTCCCTAAAAATAACGTTTGTACACTCCAAATCATAAGCATTAGGAGAGCCGTTGTTATGTTTTTTTCCTACTTTCTGATAGAGCGTTTTAAGACGAGTACAATGACCTATAGTTGAAGGTCATTCAAGGTCAACTATGATGAACAAAAATTACTTCGACACACCGATCGTATACTTTTGTGTCTTCTCTGGTTGTTGATACACCGCTATAATAATAATGCGATCGAATGTTTATTTTACGTTCCACGATTCATATAGCGGTATATCAACAATCAGAGAAGTACATGAAAGTATTCGATCAAAGTCTTGAAGTAGTTTATTTTCAATCATAATTGACCTTGAACGATCTTAAATGACCTCCAACTAAGAGTCATTGAATTCGTCTTAAAACGCTCCATCATTTTAAAGAATGAAGTTGACCTTCATATCTACGCTACAGCTTCTGTTCAGACAAGGTTTATGACACGGACGGTTGGAACCTGTTATTTTCGAGAGGGGTTGGGCAAGCTGTATTTTTAGCTGTCGACAATTTAGTTTAAGATGTGGGCCTGGAAACTGCCTATTGTGTAAGATTTTCTCCTGTGCACGAGCGTTTCTGACGCTTCAACCGAATAGCAATTGGCGTGTCATGAATCTTGGAAATTCGAAGCGGTTCTGAATGGGGGGTCCGCTAGGCCCCTTGGGCCTGGTATGTTTCGTCGTACATTTGTGGAGCAGTCTTCACCCCCACACGCTGTACAGTGGGCGTTGCCTGCCAATTCGGAAAGACTCTGCCCAAGAAGGGTCAGTAAAGTTCTCGAGTTGTGATCCGAGAATAAGAAAACCACCTTCTTCTACCATTCTTTTTTTATTTAAGACGTGTATCTTAATTTTAAGGGTAGATCTCAACTTGTTTCCAGTAAATTTGTATCTCTGTGTCAGTCTTGTATTCTCTTTATCCCACACGAGTAACTTTACTGTGTGAAGTCGCGAAGCACTAAGGCAATCGCGCTTAAGACTGTACGCCTAACAGCTTCACTTATAAAAAAAACTACTAATATCGCAGATTATGTACCTCTCAAAACGAAGCAAGTTAGGTCTGACATATTCTTTCCTACTATCAAAAATAAACGAGCTATTCAGGTGACCTGTTCTAAATGCCCCACCTTGTATACAATATTTCTCCACGACCATCAATACTTTAATCCTAATACTGACAAGCAGGAGTATATTCAATTATTCCTTCGTATAACATCCCCGATCGCGATTAATCTGAAGTCGTCGATCCGAACGAATCATCCAAGTACGAAACAGGAAACCGATCGTACGGCCCCAATACGGAATGCCTTCATGATCTCTAAATCGCGTGTCTAGCATTCCCCGATGGTGTGTTGTTAGCAGCTCCCGTTACGCTATTCGACGAATCCTCCTAACGTTCGTCTTTCCCGCGGATGTTGCCGATTTACGAGCGTAGCGCGGCCGATGGAACGCAATGAAAGCCGTGGCGTCAGCGTCGCCCGAGCTGCTGCCGCGACGAGCAGGGATTTCAAGATCGGTATGGTTAGCACTCGCTGTAAAACAGTAAGAAGTTAACGATCCCAGCCCCGCGACGCGCGGCGTTACGACGTGCTTTCCGTCGAGGATATTTATTTAAGAAACAACCCCGGCCAGCGTCTCTCTCTTGCGTCGTCATAGTTCCGT